TGTGTGTGTGTGTGTGTGTGTGTGTGTGTGTGTGTGTGTGTGTGTGTTTACATAGCAAATACAGCACTACATAGAATACAAAGAGAAGAGGTGGTTACATGAGCAGTTTGAAATCTCCTGGCAGACATTAAAACAAGCCCGGAAGAGTGATATAGGAGAGTGAAGGTGGTGCTTGCATAAAATACATGAACATGTTTCATATAGGTGAGTCTGCCATTAAGGGTGTTTGGGGAGTCCTACAAGCCATTTGGTTGGTATGACTGCAAGACTACTTGGTAAAAACAGTAACTAGTATTTTCTAGTTTTAACCCGTAACATTAAGTTTAAAGCCTGATAATTACACTGAATTGGTATTTATTTTCACTTCTTTCATTTATATTTGAATCACTGAACAAATCTGAGATGCAGATGTCTGGAAGCAGGCTTCTAAGTTTACTACCTGTACTAATGGATACCTTTTACAAAGCATGTTTAAGTCCAGTGTGTCATAATCCTTTGATTATATTTTACAATTACAAAGTCTGAATCTGAAAAATACAATCTGGAATCTCTTTTAAAATGTCGGTATTGTTAAAGGAGTAGAGGATAAAATGATGCTATAAAAGGTGTAACTGGCCAATTTATTTATATTTCTATATTTGTGTCATGTAGATATATATTCACAGTTTATGCATCTTTGAGTTTGATGTTTGTCTAAAACTGTGATTTAAAACTATGAATATTAAAATTTGTAAACATGGCATTCAGTTAAAAGAATGTGTGTGTGCATTACACAGTACAGTATATTCTCTTTGTTTTCTTATCCATGAAAAGTTTCCCGCATGCTCGAAGTCTATTGACTGAGTTTTCAATAGAAGGGATCACACATGTCTCTTCGCTATTATAAATAAACTCCTGGTTTCTAACACAATCGATCATAATTTCATGTTTAGCTTTTATACTTACCCATTTCAATCATAAATATTGTATACATCATACTCACTTTCGTTATTCATGGTGCACGTGAAAAATAGTCCAACATTGTTATATGAACCTTAGTTGTCTATTTTAAGAAGCAGTTGTGTCTCCGAACTATTTTCCTTCTCAGTAAGCAGCAGCAGAAAGTGTCAGTAGTGATGTGTATACGCATATGCATGGCAGAAACAGACATGAAGAAATTGGAAAATGTTGAGAAGCAGGATGAGAGACAGATCGTACAGCAGACAGACATGCAGAAGACGTTTTGTTAGATTATAAGCAAAGCAGGTGTCACAGCTCTTTTCCTTCCCTCACCAGTGTAATTAAGTGTCATTTTGTGAAAGCACCGTCATTAGCTGTGTCGTAGTATCTTTAATTAGTACACACTGGGTTGTTAATCTTATTGGCAGGACTGACAGATACTATAGGCCCCACACACACACATGCTGAACACACATAAGTATGTAAGTAGCTACTTGCATTGGCAACTGTTGACCATTTTGTCGAACATGTTTATGGTGGCGGAGTGTGTACTATGTGAGTCCATGACGGGTTTTTATTCATTTTCTTTGATCCTCAGATCCGCAGACAGGGAGGCATCCAGCTGCTGGTCGACCTACTGGACCACAGGATGAGTGAGGTTCACCGTAGCGCCTGCGGAGCCCTGAGGAACCTGGTGTACGGCAAGGCCAACGATGAGAACAAAGTGGCCCTGAAGAACTGCGGCGGGATTCCTGCCTTGGTCCGCCTGCTGAGGAAAACTGGAGATGTGGAGATCAGAGAGCTGGTCACAGGTACTGTAGCTGTGGCTAAACTTACACCTAATCTTTCTTGCACGAATATATATATATATATATATATATATATATATATATATATATATATACACAGTATATCATGGTGTAGCTGCAGTTATTCTCCAGCAAGACTCTGCTCTTTTGGCCTGAGGAGAGGTTATAATGGTGTGTGGATGTGTGTGTGTGTGTGTGTGTGGATGGATGGAATTTGCTATACGAAGATGTGAGGATCTGTAAAGCTGCCATATGCACACACAATTATGACAAGTCTGTGTCATTATATGCACCTGTGTACCTATGCACATTGCAAGGATATTGCTGCTGATTACTGATTGAACACTTTAATATTTGCATGCACACACTCCTTGCAACAAACACACTTTTTAATTACACGTTAGCCTCGTTGTATTAAAGTTTAATTTGGCCTTGACAGCCAGTAGTCCTGGAGCATTTATACATTCAACTTTTAGTGAAAGAATATTCTTCACAAAATGTTACTATTCACTATGCAGAAACCAAGGCTGTTCATCTTTAGCTCCTTTCAGATGCTTAACAATTTAACATTCCACCTGAAAGATATTTTACATTCAATCACAGCTCTCCTCAACAGATTAATAGGGCTCTTAGGCATAACCTCCGGAAAGAATGCAGAGAAAGCAACAATATATTTTAAACATCATTTCTCTTGAGAAGTGTTTGCTCTGTGCTCTCTCTTTTCAAAAGTTTGAGTAAAATTCAATTAAAGTTTGGCTCTGTTTTTTTTTTTTTTTTGCGTGGGTGCCTGCAAACAATCGCAAAAAATGCGTGTGTAGCATTTAAGTCCCAACCAGCGAGTGTGGTGGTTTACAATCACTGGTCAAACTTGTCTTAACCTGGAGGGCATGAGCAGAACAAGTTAGCCAGTGCACTGGAGACACACACATACAGCAGTGCACACACACAAACATAGAGAAGCACAAGCGTATACACACACTCACGCAACCACTCTCAGATGTGCAGCACTTATTGTGGAGAGGCACACAAATATCTGTGTAGGCAAAAGATGTATGGATTAAATTTGAACACCCACCTAAGCAAACAGACATTACATGAGCTGCTATAATTTGATCTCCATTTCTCCCCCAAAATATTTTGCAATGTGCCTCCCACTAAGAATTTAATATTCCACCAGAGGCCCTTTAGTGCTGCAGCAAACACTAACACAAGCACTGCGTCCCTCTCTGCTTAACGAAGATGCACAGATGCTCACACACATACACCACCTCAAGCATACTGTATGTGTAATCCAAATGTGCAGCTACAGTTATGTCCCAGCATGGCATTGGTTCTACAGCCTCAGGACAGGTAATAATGATGAACTGCATAGTTGAGCATGTGTGTGCGTGTGAATCGTGTTTGGGCATATGTGTCACAGGATTTAGTCGAAAGGTTAAAACCTGTGTTACTTATGGAATTCAGCAAGTAATAATGAGTGTCTCAGAAAGGTTAAGAGTTTGCTTTGATTTAAATGAAGTGGGTGAGCTGTGACCTGTGATGGGTGGGAATGAAAGCAGCCCAGCAGATGTTCCAATGAGCAGTTCTCCCACGGTGTGTTACGAGCATGTCGCTCTCATGACAGAACCGGGCAATCCTTGTCCTCTCTCCTTCTCTCCTCTTTTGTCATCTCATTTCTTCTATTTTCCTTTACTCCTCCACCTATGTTCTTGTGTCGTTCCCACTCCTCTTCACACCCTTCTTTTCTCTCTTTTATTTGCACGCATGCTGGCCTTCTATGTGGCTCGGTATCATGCATCACATTGAGCCGGGGCTGTGTATATATCTGCACTTGTAGCGCCATTGTTTCTCGCTCTTTGCTCAGACAAAAGCCCACTTTGTCGCACCAGGTTAGTTGGGAGATAAGAGAGCTTGCGCTAGAGGATTGGACATTCCTAAAGATAAAGTGCAATCACGCTCATTCACTCAGGCACACACACACACACACACATACACACACAGAGTCAAACCGACACACAGGAACATACAAAATCACACATGCACACAAAGAATACTGAGATGAAGTCGGTGGTGCCCCTCCATGTTCAATTTGACTTCTGACCCCTTTTATCTCAGCGGGACAAAGCTCATCTTCAAGCGCGCACACACGTACACTCAAACCTCCATCCCTTGATGCCTGCTCATGGGTTTCTCGCTCTATTGAGGAGAAGGGGACCCGGCGGATCACAACAATGACCGCCCGCAAGCCAGCGAGGAGTTCAGTCTCTCGCTTTACAGGTCCCTCAAATACTAATAATGGCCCACTGAAGAATGGTGGAGACATAAAAACAAATGAATAGTTTACAATGTAGGAAAGGAAGGATGGAGGTGGTTTATATTTCTAGAATTATTCATTGCTATTGACACCGCTATAACGGGGTGGACGGAGGCTGGAAATGGAAGGACAGTTAGAGACATGCAGGTGGATAGAGAAGGAAGTAAGCTGTTCTTATTATTATATTGTTATTGTAGATGGTGAAATACAATTGGAAGAAAAGGGGAAGGAAGAGGAAGGGAAAATTGACAACAAATGGTGGGGATTAGTAGGAAGGATGAAAAAGACGGAAGGGAGGACCGACTAAACAAAGGGAGGAAAGAAGAACATAGGAATGGAAAACAATCAGGACATTTTGTTTTTATCCCAGATAAAGAAGTCAGTTATGGCAGTCACCAGACTTCATCTACAGGGACGCTCTGGCACCTTGAAGAATCTCACCACAGCACTGGAGAGACTAAGAGATTAGAAACACAGCTTGGAGATGGAGCATGCGTGTGTTTATGTGCGGTTTGTAAGCAGTTTAACGAATGAATAAATTGCACCGCAAGTCATACTGCATCATATTTTGAGCTCTGACTTTCATAAATAGTCCTCCTGCACAAATACACACACTCTGAAAGCCTACCATCCCTCTCTCTTTCCCTGACTCTTGCTGCCCTTCTCTGTCTTGCTCTCAACCTGCTGCTGGCTGTGTGAATCAGTGTCATGCATGACTCTTCCCTGTTGTCTGTTCACTGTGGCACTTAGCATTGCACTCCACATTTCAATTGCTTTCATGCCAGTACAGCTATATTTTGAAGTCTATCTTCATTTGCCTCACGGAACACCTGTCTGAGCTCTAATTCACCGCTCGAAACTGTTGCGTAATGACTCTGTAATTCAATTAGGGAGTGTGTTTTGAATGTTTCTTCTGACAAATAGAGACAATGAGTACAGTGTGTTAAAATTGTTTGTTTATGTTGCATTGACCATTGAAACTGTTGAATTGTTTAAATTCAATGCATCTATTTTTTCCCATACAGTGTTTGTTGGAATACAGTACCTACTACAAATGTATGTATGTTCCAAAAAGCTTTTCCCCTTATTTGCTTTGTTAAGACAGAGATAAAAACACCTTCCTCTAACCGCCCCCCCCCCCCCCAACCCAACCAAAGAGATGAAACGCACACACAAAAAAACGATATCAAATAACTAAAACACACGCACAAAGTCAATAAAATGAAATAAAATAGGGAGGGAAGTACAATAAGAAGGATGCTTAAGGTGCCTGCTTCAAAGAACAGCTGCATTGAGAATCTGCCGGGGGTCAGAGAGGAAAGCTTATTTACTGTACATGCGAGAAAATAGGCGGCCATCTTTTGTAGAAATTGGCAATATCACTCTAATGGAATATTTCACCTTTTCCAACGATGGAAAAGATGTCAGATCATCAAGCCAGTATGTGGTAGAAGGCGGACATGCAAAGGCAACAACATCAAATGCATCCATTTCGCCAATAATTTGTGCACAGTGAAACAAATAACAGATTACTTTCTATTGTAACATTCTCTCCTCCTCTAACATCTATAGTTCAAGTGCTGTTGGACTGAACCTGTAAATGCTTTGGACTGCGTTAGCGCAGCTACCAAAAGAGTCAGTGTGAATGTGGAGGAACTCCTTTCTCATGCCATTGCTGCAAATATTCTCTGCAGCAATACGTAGCAGGGAGGCATTGGATCTATTGCCAAATTACTTTCCTCTCGGAGCTTGACCTTCATTACTAATTGGTGGCTAAATGATTTGAAAGCAAGCGAATGGCAGTTGGTGAGGTTCATCAGGGGCAGTGGTGCATACTCAAATGACATCAATAGAGACAATCTTCAACTGCTAGGCTCGAGAAGAAGTGGTTGTACTAGAGTCATAACAAATCAGCTTCCTCATTACTGCCTCTGTGTTGTCAGCTTCGTCAAAGCACTTCCCTATTCTCTGTGATGAAAGAATCTGTTTGGGTCTGGGGAAATGAGACAGGGCATACTTATTTTTTCTTTGAGTGACTGGAAAACCTTGCCTCAACAATTTACCCTATCTCCCTGTTGGTTCTGAAGTTTAAATATAGACAAGCTTTATTAGCTTCCTGGGTCTAAGCGTGGGGTAGATAGGACAAAGTCAAGGCTTCCGGGCCTGTCAGTCAAAGTCTGGTCGATGCACAGGCTTTGGGTGTCAATAGGAGATGCTATCCTTACTCATGGGCTCACCTTGAAGCAGTGGACCATGGCATAACCCTGCTGCTGCAGCTGCTGCTGTCTGCTCTGGGCTGAGAAGCAACTGCTGAGGGAAGTCATGTGTTCAAAATGCAGGCATTTGTGCAAACATCTTCACTGTATTACCCTTAAGATACAACTGTTTTTGTTTATTTTTTTAAAAACAGGAGACAAATGTACCTTTTTGATTAATGTTTAGCGGAAAATGATTCACTTTGCCTGAGGGGCATGAGTCCCCGCTGGCCGTAGATGTCCAAATCGCCATGTTCACACTACTGTTATAATATTTGCCAAAGTCATTTTAGTTGAAGCCACAGCTCTTAACCTTCTTTCAGAAATGCTGGAGGACAGGGCTCCATCACAGTCATTACAGTGATTCCTGTGGGGAAGCAGGATGCCTTCCCCAGGATGACTCTTTTTCTTTTGCTGCTGATATGCTATAAAATTGGTAGTGTCCTGCAGAAATGTCTCTTCAGTATTTTCACTGTGGGAGGCCCTGGTGGGATGTAACACCCCCCAGTGTAAGCAGTGACAATTTACCCACGATACAGGACTAGAGCTGACAAACCGACTGCAGGATGTTAAGTTGTTTGACCCTGGGGTCAGGTCAACAATTGTTCACATGCTGTCACCTAAACTGTTATCCCAAATCAATATTTCTTTTTTTGATTTTTCAATCACAGATTTCTGTAGACACATTAGAAATGTAATTTGTCTTCTCTGGCTTTACTCATCACCAGGTTGTGACCCCACGGCTAACTAATTCACATAGAGTCGCACAGATGAAGGCTGTTTAATAAAACATTGCCACTTGAGGCCTAACAGGCCTCACTCTCCCCTTACAAGTCACACTCTCATTTATTCATGAATTCATGCAATCATCTCCTCATTTCCCCCCAAACCACCCGGCTCCTAGGAAACTGTCCGTCAAGCGTCTGAGGGGAACTAGTCCGAGGAGGGAAGGAATGAGATAAAGACAGGGAGAGAGGAAGTAAGAAAACACACACACACAAACACACACGTTCATAAAGGCTCCAGCTGGATGACATCATTGTCTGTTGCTCACCTGATGTTATACTCATAAGGACACTGGGTTTAGCGAAGCATTTCAGATCTATGTTGCTAGAGCTGGCAGGTGTGTGTGTGGACAGTTGTGTGTCAACCTTGACGTCCTTGCCCCGGAAAATACTGAGGAGTCTATTCCTTTGTGTTTCCTCCTTCTGCTTGATCTTTGTCTTCAACGCTATCTGCAAAAAATGAACATCCTAACCCCACCCTCTCACATCCTTGGTGTGTGTTGTGTGTGCATGTTTTTTTTTTTCCATTCTTGTATGTGCATTGGCTGGAGAAGCCAAATAAAGGCAGCTGTGTGCCAGTTTCTTTGCAAGCCTGCAGACAGGTTCTTGTCATCAGAGACAACACTGTTTTAACATGATTGCAATCACACACTGACAACACTCACCACTTGAGAAGTAGACCGACACAGGAAGATAGAGATGTCTGGTGTAAAGTGTTTTGCCCAATATGTGTGCCACCGAGTGAATATGTGTTTGTGGATGTTTGAGCTGTTACCTTGGTTTGAAAAGAGCCTGTGAGAGGAGAGATTGAGTGGAAAAAGAGAGAATCTTCAAGTGAAACAAGAGGCTGATTAGTGAAAGTGAAGGCAAATGTTGCCATGCTCCCACAAACACACACACACACACACACACACAGCCTGAGTGTGAGTACTTGATTGCTGCCAAACATCATACAAGGTCATCGCCTTATCATCACCCTCCTCTTCTTGTCCTCTCACAGTCTCTTTGGCACACACACACATACACATATTTGTCGCCCTCTTTTACGCCTTCTTTTTCTCTTTTCAATTTTTCCCACACACTCTTTGTCTTGCACAGTTTAATACTTGGTTAGACTTGTTTTTTTCTACTTCATTTGAATATTCTTCTCTCTCTCTTTGACTCTCATTCATTTCCTTTCCCTCTGATAAACATTATTGTAAATATTGCCAGATTAGCTGGGAGGTTAGTTTTCATCACTAGTCCCTGCCCACGTGTGAAGTTGGCAGCCTAAAATCAAGAAACACTTTTAAAGAAATAATCGTGATACAAGGCATATCAATTACAGTCAAAACAAATCACAGACAGACAAAAACACAACACAGACATGAGCTGCAGTAAAAGCAAATTATGGTTCAACAAAGCAAAAGCAAACAATTACAGAACAGCTTCGCAAAAACAGACATAAGCAAAGACAGATATGAGCAACAGGACGGACAGCAGTAGCGCTGAGGTTGCGTCTTATTTTCTTCTTCCCTTTTAAAACTCTCTTTAATATTATTCCCTCTTTCTCGTGTTTTCTCATTTCCTGTCTTTCTCTTGGCCTGATTCTACTCCAATCCCTTCGTTTGTCATTTTCATATTTTCATTATGACTGCACTATACTGTAAGGCACCATTTCTCTATCTCCATCTTTTTACTATACCGTTTACTTTACTTTCTCTCCTGTAAGCCAGACATAAGTTGAGCAAATTCTGTAGTATTATATACGGCTTATTATTCGTCCAATATCTCTTGTGAATGAGACCTTGAGACGGGGCATACAGTGGTTGCAAGTTGTACGTGGTTCATGGTGCTATCAGCGTCCGCAATCCATACTTTGCGAACGCGCCCTTCGGTGTCTTGCTCATGTCCAGTATTGCTGTTGTTTCAGGTGACGCATACTATCTTTCCGCTGTCTCACTACTGTGCACTTCCTTGCCGCTCTTATGTTTCGTTTACATTCACATCTAACGAGCACATTGTATTGTGGAATGAACAGGACATCTTTTAGCCGGCTGACAGCCTCTGTGAACACGGCCCATTGCGTAGGGAGCAATTAGTGTCGAGAGTTGAAGCCATATTGTATTTGTGTGGTAACTGTGAAAATGAATGACATCTGTCATCCGGGACCTGCGACATCTGGAATCTGACACCTAATACGTGAGAGATGGTGACCTTCAACACGGCAGCTTTTTGTCATAGTAAACACGTGTTGCACGTCTCCTCTGTCCTCTCACTCAGCTCCTCCAGCTTCCTTTTCCCCACTCATTATTTTCCAGTTCTGCGTCTTTTATCTCTGTCACCCTTTGGATCACACTTTTTTTATCTTATTGTTTGCTGCTATATCTGTTTTTGTATCTCTCGCTGTCTCGGTAGGGGCGAACCAGCACAAGCAGCAAGGACTAATTAACATATGGAGAATGCAAGAATACTGATGAAGCCTGTGTGATTGAATGTGTGGTTCGCATGTGCACAAGTGTGTCACAGCTGACCAACAAGGCTAATGCTGTCACCCGTCTGTGGAGAGGCATCTGGCATTCCATCTGACAAGAAGAAAGAAAATAGTTGTGTGTGTGTGTGTGTGTGTGTGTGTGTGTGTGTGTGTGT